GGGCTGCACCTCCATTCAAAATTGTTTTTAGGGGTTCACAGATGAATGAAGTTTGAAAACTGCCGTGTTAGGAGGTTTGAAGTCACCACTGACTGTATGTCCCGCAGGCATGCCCCAAAGTGCAGCACATCCTGGACATCTGGGCGGGCGGCCAGGGCGTGATCTCCGTGCACTGCTTCCAGAACGTCATCCCAGTGGAAGCTTACACACGGGAGGCCTGCTTGGTGGATGCGATTGGTAAGGCAGCAGCAAGTGACATGATGGTTTTGTCCTAGGTTTACACGAGCTCCCCCCCACCCCCCAAGAGATCCTTCAAAGACGTCCCCAATCTGGCCATTCCCTCCGTAGCCCCACGGTGACGTGGTTTAGAAGGGGCGGGGCGGGGCTCTGAGCCCACGACTGGGAGCCCCAACTCTGAAACTGAATTACCCCCTCCATGACCTTGGGGAAGTTTTCCCAGCTCCGTGCCTCGGTTTCCCCATCTGTAAAGGCGGAATGGCGATGACGACTTGCCTCCTAGTGGGGCGGGGAGGGTTGGCTTGTTTTTAAAGCACTTTGAAGATGAAATATTTGTTCTTGGTTTCACGTGAACCTCGGTCTACTCCTGAGCTTCTAGCCATCCCATCCTCTGAGGTCTGCGTCTTGGGGGGCTAGCTTGAACACGCCCTGTCCTATTCGTGGTGGGAAGGGGGCGGACAGGGCTGTCACTGAGCTGAACTCACTCCTGATACAAGCAGCTGTGACTCTGTTGCCCTCCGTGGAAACACACCTCCTTTAGCAGCCTTCCCATGGGGCAGCCAGAGAGAAGTTTCCCGTGGCTGGCACAGGACGGGGGTGATTCCGCTGAGGGATTTGGGGGGGGAATCAAGCTGTGTGCTCCCCTGCTCCCCCCACCTCCTTAGTGCAGATGGCTCTAGTGAGCATGCTTCCCCTTCCAGGGTTAAAGATGCTCACCAATCAGAAGAAGGGGAATTACTACGGCGTGGTGGCGAGCTGGCCCATGAAACGCCGCCGGTGCCTGGGGATTCACATGCTGCACAGAGCCATGCAGATCTTCCTGGCGGAAGGGGAACGGCAGCTGCGTCCGGCAGACCTCCAGATTGGGCAGTGAGGATGCTCCTCTCGCCTGGCTGGCGGCTGCAGCTCTAATCAGATTGGCTGCGTAGGGTGAGCCAGGGAGGTGTACGGCTCGCAGGGGGCACCGGGATAACTGAGCTCTTAGCTAGACGGGGTCTTGGAGTCGTTCACCACTGGCGGCAGCTCAAGAAAAGGGCAGATCCAAGCTGCTGTGGAACTGAAGCCGGCTCCCCTCTCCCTAGAGAAGGGAGAGCATTAAACTGCACTTGGCCAACTGGCCGTGGAAGGTGTCTCCTGCCTGCCGGGGGCGGGATTTTTAATCCCCGAAACGTGAATTAAATTTGTCTTTTATCTCTGCTGCTCTGAGGTTTGGCAGGAGCCTCAAGAGAAGTCCGGCATAAAGAACCCCCGGGGGGTTTACAGTGGTTGTAGCAAGCGGAATCATTCCCTAGTGTCCCGTGCTGACCGGCCTGCGAGGGGCAGGGGACCTGTCAGTGGTGCTCATGTTCTTGATTGTGTCTGTGGAATCGCGCCTGGAGAATGATCTGCCGGAGAGCGGGCGCGTGGGGAGCACTACCTTTTACATACTCCTAGTTTTTGTGCTGCTTTAAGGTTTGTATTTTTTTATTTGTCTTTCCCAAAAGAATGTTTTTTAAAAAATAAATCACTGTGGATGGCTCTTAGCTCAGAAGTAGAAGCTTTTCAGCCTCTGTCTGTCTGCAGGGATCTGAACTCTCGTGTCTCGGTCCATCCCCCAGCCTCTGTTCTGCCAGGATCATTCCTCCACCCCAAAGTAGGGAGAGGTGTTGGGCTTCCCCGTGCCTTCTCTCACACATTTTAATCTCTCTGGTCCATTGTGCTGTAGCTGGTTTTCTCCCACCCCTTTGACCCAATCCGGGCTGTTCTCAGTACTAGTTCTAATAGGCTCCTTGCAGAGCGATAGGACTCCTGCCCGGCCTGTGCGACGCTCTGCTCCCTTGCTCATGCTTTAAGACTCTCCTTGGGACCAGCAGTGAGGTTAACCGCTCAGAGCGGCAGTGACGGAACTGCAGCCTGTGTCCGAGCACAGGGCAGACCCTGCCCCAGGGCTGCAGGAGCCGGCCAGTGAGTCAATAAAGTCACACGTGCTGAGAATAGAATGGCTATTTACTGTATGAAATGGCACGCTCACAGGTTAGGGTTTCATCTTTAAATGGTGGATTACAGTGCACAACTTTCCTTTTGCTTCAACACAAGCAGGGTCAGGTACAAGCGGCACAGACTCCGGAATTCATGGCAACAAACACTGAAAAGAACGTGTACCACGACCAGGGCACGGTAACAGTCACCTCAACGCAGCGGCAAGGTCAACCCTGTGTTTCCAAGTACAACTCAGGAGGATTGGGGGGGGGGAGCAGCTCTTGGAGCCCAGCTGCAGGGAGGGAGTGTTAATGGTCAAATCAGCCAGCCTGGCAGACCAGTGCCAGCAGCAGGCTTCCGGCCCCAGGGCCCCAGCCTGCCTGGTGCTGGTGGTTAGAGACAGTTCTCTGGGAAGCTCACCCTTGCCACCTAGTGGGAGAGAAGCTAAACCAAAGCATTGGCCTTTTCTCCCTCCCTCCTCACTGGAGAACAGCTCCTCCCTCCTGCCCCCATCAGTGGGGCTAGTTGAACACACCCTGCTCTAAGGGTGAGGGGAAGGGGGGGGGACAGGGCTGCACCCAGGTGACCCACATCCTCTTCACCCCACACCTGGGGCAGCCATTAACCCCTAGTGCTAAGGTGGTGCTGCTTGGAGGCGGTAGCATTTTACACCCACTGGTGTCAGTGACTGCACAGGGTGTGGGTGAGAAGGAATTGGGTCCAGGGCTGCTTCCTTTGCCATGGTCAATTGCTGCCCCTGTTTTCGGGGGTGACGGGGGGGAGACTAGTCTGTCTACTGCAGTAAGCAGAGATTTCTTTGAGCTACAGCCACAGTGTTCTCCTCTGGCTGGCTGGCACTGCAGCCGTCCCCAGTCTGCACTCAGTGCAAATCCACGCTCTGGCAATGGGGTTGTGACTGCACATTCCTCAGTCCAGGGTGTGGCCGACAGACCCCTCGGCGTTAGCGGTTCCGGCCCCCATCAGAACTCTGAACCAGAGCCAGGAGCCTGTCTGCCGTTTAGTCCTTCCTCCTTGGAAGCTGCTGGGTCGTTTTCCTGCTGCTCGGGGCCAGAGGTGGCTGAGTTGCTGCTTCTCTCCGAGATGCCCCTGCAAAGAGAATCTGTCTGTAGTTTCCAGCAAGCCGGGGCTGTCTGAGCCACAGCGGGATAATTTCACTGCCCACTGAAATGCAGCAGCTGTTTAATAGAGGCAGCAAAACTGCGCCCCAGTTTCAATTGGAAATGGCAGGGTTCAGTTTAAGCAGGCACAATGTAATTGCCCAGAGTGGGCCTGGACCAGAGCACTGAGGTTAACATCCCCCTGCGCTTTACCAATGGGCTGGGGCGTCTTTCCTGACCAGTTCTACGCTTCGCTCAAAAGCAAAGTGCCTCCGAGCCCCACAGCAAAAACCACCGAGGATTCAGCTCGCAAAGGGATGGGCCCGAAGGTTACGACAGGTCTACGCACGTTTCTGCAACTGGTCTGAAATAAAACATCAGAAGGCTGAAGTGCTGGGCAGTGTCCACGAAGAATGAAGGACCCAGAGGATAATAGAGATGCTGTAACGCGGGGGTCGTCCAGCCAGGTCACTGATGACGAGGGTGTCTAGATGGCATTAGTCTAGAAAGTTCTGCCTCCGCAGGTTAATAGCAGCCACTTGGTCACACAGTTCACTGGAGGCAAAGTTGACTGTGTAAATGGAAACACGTTTTGAAGCTCCTTGTAAGTCATTAAAATTCTCATCATGAGACAAACCGATCCGGAGAGCGGAGCGCTGGGCAGGGGCCAGGAGCCAAGTCTGGCACAGCTACATGGGTCAGGAGCACCCGGGAGCGACGCCCTTCAGGCAGTGATCAAACCCCGCTGGTTCCCGGGGAGCCGCGGGGCGGGGAGTCAGGTTGCTCTCGCATATGGTGGGTTGCCACACTCAGGCTTCCTCCCCACTAGAACCTGCTGTCTCGGGAGAGGGGTTAGGTTCTGGAAGGGCCATCGCTAGGCTTATGGTGGTTCCTGTTGTCATGTCAGAGACCCTGGGGCTGTGCTCCCCGGGGGCGAGCCAAGCTCAGCAGTGGCTTTTGGCTTGGCCCGGGGGCGAGCCAAGCTCAGCAGTGGCTTTTGGCTTGGCCCACGGCCGCTGCAGTCCGTGGCAGGGCCGAGCGTGCCTGGAGCAGGCTTGGCCTTGGAGAAGTGGTGCCGTCACACAGGTGGGCGCAGAAGCCCCTCCCATGGCTTGGCACTTGGGAAGCACCTCAGCCCTGGCTGTGCAGAAGAGCAGGGGACCAGCTGCCCTCAAGAGGCCCCCAAAGGTCCTTCCAGCAACTCGGTCCAGCTCCAGTAGAGGATCGGCTCAGCCTCCGTTCTCGGGGCGAAGATCTGCCCCGCCCCGCCCCGTTCCGTTCTCTGCAGAGTGCAGGAGCTGCTCTGTGGAGGGCTGGTTTGTATCTCTTTGGTTTCGATGCCAGAGCAGGAAGGGAGAGATCCCTGAGCCCGGCGTGGGCTCTGGTGGCCCGGGCGATGCCGCACAGGGTTGGTGTGCAGCTGTACACCCACGAAGCGCTGTTCCTTTATGGGCAATAATCCAGTGTGGGGAAGGAGGGAGCCGACACGGCTGTCCCAGCCAGGCCTCTGGCACACAGCAGCCCCCACCCATCCCCTCACTCCTAGTAGCTGAAAATGAGGGGTGGGGGGAGACTTTTTCCTCTGCCTCTGGGTCAGTCTGGCCTGCAGCTGGACGCTGCTGTCAAAGTGGAGGGGGAGCCTCAGAGCTCAACTTTCAACTCTTCGGAGCCCCTGTTCTGCAACGGACTCAGCCCCTCCCAGACGGTGCCTGCCCCGCTGCTGGGTTTGCCAGGGTCCAGCGGAAAAGCCGCATGGACCAGGTCCGAGGGTTGTTTTTCCATAGTACTTGCATCTATAGGTATGTGACCGATTTTTCTTTTGTAGTTATTCTTTCATTACTTGCAGTGTTCTCCTCCCCGCACTAACCCCGGGCTAGATTACTCCACGCCCACCAGGTTTTGGTGCAAAAAGTGACGCTAACGGGGCTGGACGGACGCTCGGGGTTGCTGGCCAGAAGATGACGCGTCACGGCCCCCTCTCCGCGTCGCATGCGGACGCGCTTTAGCTGCCAGCAGGGCTACCAAACTGCGTGCTCGGGGGCTGCTCAGCGGGAGGCTGGCGAGGAAAAGGCTCGGAGGCAGGGCCTGGCCGCAGTGAAGGGAGCAGTCTGGAGTCGTCGTGCAGCCGGATGCAGTGTCATTGACCTACGGTCTGACTGATCATGGGGCAGCTTCAAAATCAGTTCCCCAAGACCCTCCTCCGGCCCCATGGGTTCATGGCAGGTTGTGTGGGGAAACGGAGGGTCGGCGTGTGGATGAAGCCAGGGGAAAGGTACCTAAAGCACTGGTGGTTTAGGAGGTGGAAGGCATGCCTGGGGGGTGCTGAGAAATAACAGGAGATCCTGCTGCTGGACGGCTCGTCCTTTGCTGAGCTGCCCCCCTCCTCTCGGCCAGCTGGTGTCAAGCAGATCTAGGGGCCCAGCCCCAAGGCAGGGCAGCTAGGGGTCAGCAGGAGCCAGGCTCTAGGGCTGCTCTTCGGAGTCTGGCACCACCGGTCACTATCCCGCCTTGCTCTGCTACCAGCCAGACGTGCGGGGACCAGTCCTCATTTCTCCCTGGGACAAAAGCCACACGCCATTTCGGTTGTGAGCTCCTCGGGGCAGGTACCCTGTGTCGGGCAGGGTCAAGCCCACCACTGGCCCTCCGGCGAGGGGCTCCAGCTGCCCGGGGCTGGCACACGTTCAGCCGAAGCAAAGAGGGGGATCTAGTTGCTAAGAGCTCATGGGAAGATGCTGCCCCTTGTGGCTTTGTCCAGGGGGCAGAGCCATCCTCATCTCTTGGCTTCCCCCTTCAAGTACCCCTTTGGTGAATGGGGGGTGGGATGCTCTGGGGAGCGGAGATGCCCCTCGTGCTGTACCTAGAGGAACCGGTCTGAGCCCCTCCCCACAGTCTCGCTTCTCCACCCCCTGCCCCAAATGGGGCCGTTGCATGAGAGAAATTATACTACAAGGAAACAGGATGAAGATGCTCCAGCAGCGGCCGTGCCCTCCCAGGGAGCGCGCCCCTCGGCCAGTTTGCCCTACTCCTGCCGCCAGCCTGCGCGCGCCAGGCCCTGCAAAGACGCTCCCCTTGAAGCCATTGTGCTTAGCCGCCAGCCAGTCCAGCTTCCAATCCAGCTGTATCCAGGGAAGGAAACAACTCCATGCGTGGGGGGGGGAGCCTTTCCACCACACCCCCCCCCCCTCTGCGCCTGCACTCAGACCCCGTCTCTCTCCACGTGGAAAAGTCCCTCCCGTCAAAGCAGCACCACAGCCGGGTCACCACTCGCTGACTGGCTTATTTCTTCTCCACTTCTCGCCCTTCCCCGGCCGCCGTCTCGGGCTCCCACAGGAGGAACTCGTGGAGCAGGGTGTTCACCGTCTCCGGACACTCCATCATCACCATGTGACTGCCCTCCTCAATCACCTTCAGGAACGCGAGCAGCAGGATCTGGGAATAGAGGACAGGGCACAGGACGGCCATCAGGGCTTATGGAAACTGGACCAGTCGAGCTCCCAGCCAGCAGCTCCCCCTCCCTCACAGCTGGGCAGATAGCAGGGCTGTACTCCTGCTGGTGCAAGGAGGAAGTCTGGAGCTGTCAGACTCAATGGCAGAGCCCCTGGGGCTGAGGTCAGGCTCAGTGGACATGGACTGATTCTCTCCCCCCCTCCACCCGCCCCGCTTTAGTCCTGGCACCCAGCTCTGGGCTTATCTCATTGGGACACAAGCTGCTGCGAGAGCCGCCCTGCCCCTGCCAGCGACACGTTCCATGCTGCTCGTCCCCGGAGGAAGAGGAGATAACGCCGGGCAAGGGCAGCTGAAGGGCTCTGCCTGTCTGTTCACACGTTGGCAGGCGTCAGCCATCGCTCACGCTCCAGCTAACCTGGGGGAGCAGGGTGACCTCCAGGGAGGTGACTGCTGGCTGGCAGCACGGGAGCCAGAGAGGAGAAGTGCCCTGAGCCCATCATGCCCTCTCTGATCAGGGGCAAGGAAGGGGGGCAGACAGTGGGGGAGAGTCCATGCCCTAGTTGACCAGCGTGTGTTGCACATGACTGTCCACACGGGGGGGGCTCTGCCCCCAGGACTGCATCCAGCTGGACCCCTACTCTGCCCCTCCGCCATGGGAGGGAGTTCGAGGGGAGGATGTTGTATTTGCACATGCAAATCAGAACCACATTTCATCCAATGGCTGCACCAGCTAGATTGGTCTCTGTCCAATGAGAGGGCTGGTGGGGTCAGGGCACATTGCACCTGCGGGACGTGTTGCTTCCAGCCCACTCCTGGCTGAGGGGCTCTAGTGGGAGGGGAGATGCCAGGGCAGGGGGCTCTAGTGGGAGGGGAGATGCCAGGGCAGGGGGGCATCGCTGGGGGCAGCAGGGGAGAGGCAGAGAAAACCAGGCGCGATGACCCCACGGGTCTGGTCCGGCACAGCTGACTACACAGACCAATGACCTGACCCCACGTAGCAAATCCCATCGTTTCTAACTCACGCTGTGCTCCTCAGCCCACGCAGGTCTGGCTGCCGGTACTGTACCTCGGCCATCCGCTGATCCTCCTCCACTGGCACAAACTTGTCGTGCAGGCCGTGCACCAGCAGCACCGGCACGGTGAGCTCGGCGTGATAGACCTCGTCGCCCTCCGGCCAGTACTGGCCGCTCATCATGGCCCGCAGGACGAAGGAGGAGACGTTGAAGGCGTTGCCTTCCTTGAGCAGCTGCTTCTCCTTGGCACCCTGGCGAGCGAAGCCAGCCCTGCCGGGCACACGACAGAGAGCGGGGGAGAGTTAACAGCACAGCCCAGGTCAGGGGGAGCCCAGCCTAGCACAGAGAGCTGGTGCAGAAGACGCCTGGCACAGGGAGTGAGCCCGGGCGATGGGCTGGGGGGGAGAGCTGCCGTTTGCCTGCTGGGCAGACAGACTGAGTGTGTCTGGGTAATAGCAGAGCCCAGATGATCTCCCCCTGCACGTCTCTGGTCAGCTGGAGCCAGGCCCCTCTTGGGGCTGCGAGAGGCCGGGCTGGCCCCTGTCATGGGTGCATACTAGCCCCTTCAGATGCCGTGCTCAGCGGGACAATAGGTGAAGCTGTGCACGAGGGGGGTGAGAAGCAGATGTGGGGAGCTGCTGCCAGATGTGGCTGCCCCTTGTCCTGGCACATCCCCAGTGCTGCCTCTGCCCTTGCTGGTACGGCCCGTCGTACCGAGCGGAGGTGGGGACAGCTTTTCATACCCCTCTGCAAACCTCTCCCTCCCCAGGGTTAATTTGCTCCAGCAACAGCTGTCAGAAGCGTTGGCAACTCACTTGAGGAAGCTCCAGGCCAGGCAGGGGGACAGGCAGTGAAGGACGCAGGTTGGCATGTTGAAGATAGAGCACAGGCTGGGCTCCAGCGCGGTGGGGCCGCCCCCGTTGATCATTATCACCTTGTGGACCAGGTCCGGGTACTCGTGGGCTAGGAACGTGCAGAAGGAAACCCTGCAAGGAGGAGACGGGACATTATCTGATTGGGCTCCCCACACACTGCTCTGCCAATCGCCCTTAATCCTCCCCTGCTAATCCAGTCCTACTGGAAACATGCGGGATGACCGAGAGCCGAGGAACCCCAATATCACTGCTCCAGCTTGTACCATTTCCTTTGCCTGGGACACGTTCTGAGCCCCCGGGCCGGCGGGAGGGAGCTGCTCGGTTTAGTCCCACACCTGAACTCAACCTTCCCTGGGGAGCTGCTAGGCCATCTCTACTCCATAATTACTGGGGTCTGAATCACACCGACGCTCCAGAGCTGGACCAGGGATGGCCTGATCCTTGCTGCACTGCAAATCAATCATCAGACAGCACGGATGAGAGTATCCATCGCACAAAGACCCGGGTGGCGGTGGGGGAGGGGGGTTCACCTCTGATCTACTTCCGAGCCAAGATCCCTTCATGTTCTACGGCTGCCTTTCAAACCTCATCCCCTTTCACTCCCCGGCTCTGAGCCAGTCTCTGTCTCCTCTGTTCTCGTCCACGCCATTAAATACCTCGGGGGGCTGCAGCGAGGGCCTGCTCCCGCCCTGTCTTCGCACTGCTTAACTGCTGCCTAATTGACTTGCTTGGACTTACTGCTATTTATAGGGCCCCCTCCCCCTTGCAGGACAGGTCATCAGTGCCGCTTGGGAGCAGTCACTGAGGTCACAGGTGGGGGTCTTTGTGCAGCCTGGCTTCCAGCATTAGAGAGCGGAGGGGAGGGGAGATGGTGCTGAGCATAAGTGAAATGAGGTTTCCAGGCCTCAGTTTAGACTAGTGGGTGACCAGACAGCAAGTGTGAAAAATCGGGACGGGGTGGCGGGTAATTGGCACCTATCTAAGAAAAAGGCCCAAATATGAGAACAGTCCCTACAAAATTGGGACATCTGGTCACCCTAGTTTCGACGCTGGTAGATGATGCGTATTGGTCCTGCCCGGAAAGCAAGAGCTGCCTGGCTCTGCCTCACTGCCAGGAGCACTAGAGCTGCAAGCCCCTGGGGCAGGATCGAAGCTGGACAGGCCAAGGGGGTGGGAGCGAGCTACAGAAACGTGCAGGTGCGGTTTCCCAGATCAGGTCTGCCACAAGCCCTTTGTGCGATGAGGTGGCTGGTCTCAGCTCAGGTGCCTGCAGCCCAGGACTTTCGCCCCACCGGCCGCTCTCCAGCCCTCTCGTCCGTCGGCGCTCTCAGCAGAGAGGCCAAGGACGGGAAGCGCCCTCCCCTGCGGGTGAAGCACGTGCTGTGGGGAGCCTGCGCAGGCTCCTTTCGCTCCCCGGGCAGCAGTGAAAAGGGGGAGCGGAGCTGACACTCTGGCCAGGCAGCACGGCACAGCCCCCCAGAGCGCACGTTTAGGGCCTGTGAGCTGGGGATGCAGACTGAATCCGCCTGGGGGTAGGGAGCATGCACCAGTTGACAAGAGGCAGCAGGAGATGCACTGGCCTTTGCTGCAGCTGCTGCTGGGTTTGCAGAGTTCCCTCCCAGATTTAAGAACCAAATAAAAAATAATAATCAAGGGAGCAGGAAGGAGGCTGACTACTCCCAGCCACCCCCGACAGAGTCACAGACAAGGAGCCCGCTCGGGAGAATCTATCATTAAAGAGACAGGCCACACAGCTCCCCCACCGATCAGAGCCAGAGCGGCAGAGGTCTATATGCATTACTGTTTCCTCTGGCTGCAACCTGGGCTGCTAGTTTCCTTGACGGGACAACAGGCCAGCTGCATGGGGGGCTTCCCCCACCTTCCACAGGGCCAGTCCAGGAGTGGCCCAGTGGTGTGATCCAGCTTGATGGGTGGGTGGGCCATGAGACCGGATGGACCGATCTGGAATTGAAAGACCTCTAGTCCTATCATCTTTCTTTCAGCGGTGAGTCCTGACCCACACGGTGTGTTCATAGACTCATAGACTCATAGACTTTAAGGTCAGAAGGGACCATTATGATCATCTGGTCTGACCCCCTGCACGCTGCAGGCCATAAAACCATCCCCGCCCCTTCCCTGGACTCTGCTGCTGAAGTCCCCAATCCTGTTATTAGTGACCTCAATCGGCAGAGACCCTCCTGCTAGAGATCCCTGCCCCATGC